ATTTAGCGACTGAAGGCACGGGTCCGGAGGCCATCTCTTCTGGAGAGGTAACTTCCATTTGTAGCAGTTAATTAATTCAAGTTATTTAATTTCATCTGCTTTAATAGTTGACAAATAGTTGTTTTTATTTGATAATATATAAGTAATTTGATTTGAATAACTATAACAATAACAATGCGATTTGTTTAGGATTCGTGGTCGTACAAGAGACCGGAACTGATCGGTAATTATAAAGGGCTGAAAATCAACGTTTACAGCCGACAGTCTATATGCTGATATCAAGAACGAGTTGGGCCACGTTGAAGGGGCCTTGACTGCTTTCCAGGGCTCGGTCTTTGGTCCGTTCCTCCAGTTTGATGATAAGGCCCGTGTATCTGCAAAGACTATGCATGGGGTTCTTTCGCGCGAGGTGACTCGTGTCGGTCAAAAACCGAACGAGATGTGGTTCCGTGTTGGTAACCATTTTACACGATTCTCCGCCCATGAGTATGCTGTGGTGACCGGGCTTGCTTTTGGATCGTCTGCGTTTGACCCGAACTCAGCGCCTCCTCCTCCTCCATCGTCAATTTTCAATGAGAAATATAAAGGCAAGCGGATCACTATGCAGCAATTGTGTGATGACTTCAAGGCGGGGCAGTTCCGTTACTCTCGGGATGTGATAGTGAGAGTGGGGAAGATGCTAATGCTGATGTTCTTCATCATTCCTCATGACCACTTGAAGCCTAGGTATATTGATACCTGCTGGTGGGCTTTGCTTGAGGAAGACCAGATGTGGGAGAAATTCCCATGAGGGAGTTACTCGTTTCAGTACCTGTTCGACTACTTGCAGACGACCCAGTACAATAAAATGAAATATCATATCTACGGATTTCACTGGGCGTTTCTAGTATGGTGCTACGAGGCAATCCCTGCATTAGGTCGTACATGTGGAAATTGTACCTCGGTGAGACGCCCACCACGGCTGGTTCACTGGTTACTGAAAAAAGTTTTTCTCCAAGATACATTTTTTGACCAACAGGTATTATTTGATCCTAAACATTTTTTTATTATTATTGGAATCGTTAGCAAGTGATATCTGAAGTTCTTTTTTAAGTCTTAACGATTTCTGATGATTTCTTTATTTTTATGTTCTATTTTTTTAAATTTAGTTGGAGGTGAATGAGACGCTGCCGCTGAATGAGGATGAAATTGGCGTGTTGGACTTCTTGAATTTGATTGTTCTGGGGCCTCGATTTTCGCGACGGGCTAACCTGGCCAGTCGCCGTATACAAGACTCGGCACTGCCATCCCCGCCGGCTCTGCAATCTCA